ACTGGGTTGAAATGACAGTTAAAAGCAAAAAAAGAGGATATCTTAATGTTTCTGGAACATCTGTGACTCATTTCTGACTGAATCTAAAGGCTGATAGCGACACACTGAGGACACACTCTCACCGTCTTTAAGCATCTATTTTTTTGTAACAAATACATGACTTGATTCTTTTAATAGTTTTACAATATTGCCGAGCTTGATCTGAGTCAGTGTATTTCCTGTTTCATATCCGTGTGAAGTCATTCCTCCGCTGAATGACTCACTGGTCTGGATGAGTGCACCATGCTTACAAAGCTTTTATTAAAACATGATTTAAAAAAAAAAAAAGGTGATACAGTGATTTAGTTTTGTACTACCGCAGAGATGAGACAGATTTAAAAGATTCAAAGCAGCAGAGCTATTCTAAGAACTCTTATTTGTAGTCGCCAGTATGGGTCAGGCTCTTGAAAAACACAGAATCCTACATTTCCCATAATGCAGCACAGTAGGGGATTTCATCAGAGCCTCCCTCCTTGGTAAATATGTCCACACCCATAGATGTGAGCCAGGCTCTCTGATAAAAATGTGTAGTCTCTAAGTCCAGGCAGAGACAATTTCAAGTAAACCAAACTTAAGGAGTGTCCATTTAAGTGCATCTTTCCACAGTAATCATCAGCCTCCCTGTATTTTTATTCCCTGAGTTAAATTACTGTTTATGCACTTTTATCGCAGCACTATATAGCGCAACACAATGCAACAAAAAGCCACCGGTTGAGATGCAAAAAAACACAAAAACAAGACAACAGACACAATGAAACGCAACACTATGCAACACAGAGCCTCAAAGCAACACTATATACCTAAAATAAAGTAAGTAAAAGTCTTATCAGGGATGTTGCACAAGCCTTTCACTTTAGTCAGGTGTGTCTCACATCATTTTCCCCAGATTTCAGCAAGAAAAATCCATTAGGGGAGCATGAGGCTGTTTAGCAGCCCGAGGAGATGCAGCGGCTTTGATACCTTTGTTTTTGAAGATGTGAAAGCTTTTGATTCTGAAACCTGCGGTAGATTCTGCAACAACACCTGATTTTTAACTTAAGTGGGGTTTAAAAAGGTCTTTCACGGAGATTAGATCTGTTTGTGCGCGCGCCTGCTTTACAGTTTTACAGTGAGTCAAACGGCTGATGAAATATTACAGGGTGGCGTGACGGGGCACATGGCAGGAGAGGAGGAAGTCTTGTGATGGGAGACCTGAACTTGTGTTACAGCTAAACCACAGCTCCATGTGTATTGTGAGGCTGTCACTGCTTTTACTTCTTATTTATCCATTAAAGGCTGTCTTGTTACAGGAGCTTTAACATTACAGTATTGTTAAGGTTTTATTTTATATGGTAAGATTAGAGTTATATCATTTTAAAACCAGTGTCAGATAAACTGGTAAACACATCCCAGCTGGTCTCGATCTTGTTTGGCTCCCTTTCATGAAAGAATCACTGAATTATGTCCAAACAGAGAAACATTTCAACTGGAAGAGCTCCATTCAGCAGGGGTGCGTTCAATGTACAGCATGTGTACAAGTTTGCAGTGTCTCTCTGGGTAAACAACATGTGTCCTTCTTACAGAGTGCCATGTTTACAGCAGGGTTTTACAGCGTTCTGTAATGGAGGTTAAATTAACAGCAACCATTACACTGTGCTGCCAAAACCATCAATACAACATGGGGTGGATTTCTCCCCATTAAACACATTTAAAGAATTGTTTTTAAGGAAATTACTTAGAGCTACACTTGGTAACTTACATTAAAATTAATTTGTGCCATATTTACTGAAACCAGGGGCGGAGAAAAGTGGGACTGATTACCCAAGGCTCAAATTGGCAGGGGGGCCTCGAAAAGACTGGAGTGAAAAGTTTGGTTTTGTCTGCACTTTTTAATTTCTTAGTAATTAGTGCTATAACTAAATTAAATTTAGTTGAAAAATTCAGTTAATCTTCTTACTCTGAGGCCCCTCGCAGCCCTTAAAGCAGGGATACTCAACTTGCTTTTGCAAAGTGGAAGGAGACCAGGGGCCAGTTAAACAAACACTAATAATATTTATCAGATAAAATTAATAAACCAGGCAAATACAGTCACAGCAGCTGCACGTAGGTCAGGTGTACACAGGGGTGTTTCTAGGATTTGAGGACATTTAGGGCTAATCTCATCCCCTGGCACTCTTTTTTTTTAACAAACAGGCTCTATTTTGATGCTTTTTTTGTGCACTCTGGCACCTTAACTGCATCCAGAGTATTTTGACCGTGAATTAGAAAATGGTCAGCGGGCCAACTGTCTCTAAACGCAGCTAGAGCTGAGTATCTGACTGGTTATGGTGCTGGAGCACAGATGTACACTGTCATGTCTTTCCTAAGAGGCGCAGAGGGAGACATGGATCAACAACCTGGTCTCACTCAGAAGTCGTCAAAATCCAGCACTTGGGCAGTGACTTCCTGCGACAGACACTGATGAAAAAAGCTGTCCTTTAACGTCGGCACGATACGCAACCAGTCACCATTATAGCTTAAAATGTGGCCACCGTTGTCACTGGGAAACAAGAACAAAAGTAAAGGGTGGGTGGGCCCAACAAAGACTGACTTTCACCTGAGAGCAGTGATCAAGTCCTGTCAGCCAAACCCTGTTCTTTTTTTCCTAAACCTAACCACGTGCATTAGCTGTTGAAGGGGAAAAAAAGGTCAAATTGCGGTGTTGTACCTTTATAGTGCGTTATTTTGAAAGAGACTGTATGTAAACATTACATTTCCTGTGAAAACAGAAGTGTATTTTGAAAGAGGACAATGCATGTAACAGGCAGAAGTTGACACGGTGTCCCAGAACGTCAACAACCAACACATCCAGGGTACCCTGCATGTCATATCTGGATGTGGAAAGTCCATGACCAAACAGTAATATGTGACGAGGTCGGAGTGAGAATGTGTTGGGATTAAAGGAAGGGCAGGGGGCCCACGGAGGCTGCTTATGCATAGGGCCCAGGACTTGGTGCTACGCCCCTGTCTGAAACTGTCACTGTATTCTGAAACATGTACATGACAATGATAATATGCTAAAAAGAAACAGCATTCGCTAGCATCAGACTGTCGTGCAACAAAAACAACCATTCAGAGCCAAGGAGTCAGTCACTGCTTGTGTGAGGTCAAACTGTCAAACTAGGCAGCACTGTTTAAATATAAATAGAGATTCTGTTAGTGTGTTGCCTGTTTCTCACCTCAAATGTTCTTAGGAACATATTTCAGTGAACTGCAGCAGTAAAATGACAAAGGGTATGACCCGGTCACCACATTGAAAACAGTCGAGCCACGGCAAAGCACCGCCCACTGACCAGGTCACAAGCTTCCTCATCTTCCAGCTAAACAGTACACTAAAATATGCATCTGACAACATTTGAGGTGAGTAATAGGCAAAACAACAGAATCTGGATTCATATTTGATCAGCGCTGTCTAGATTGACAGTTTGACCGCAGTTTGACATGAGTGATAGCTGCACTAGAGACTCCTCAGCTCTGATTGGTTGTTTCTGTCATGCAGTAAGGCCAATAGAAGCGTCACAAGGCAATAAAACAGGCAGAGTAGTGTGATTTTTTTTTTTCACAGATTGGTGTCTCATTTCATGCTGTGTGAACAACAACAACAACAACAACAGCAACAACAACACTGGTCTAAACTGTGTTGCACTATTATCACTGACGCCGCCAGAACGTTACTGAGGTCATGAGTCCAAGTTAACCCAGCCCAACCTTTTTATATTTAATTTGCTTTTAAGTCAATTTGCAAAAATGTTATGCAAAATTTGATTTAACAGTGCGATATTATAAATGCTGTTTCAAATCTTTCTCCACACTGAACACTATTATAGTAAGGAAATATTATAATATTTAAAATAAAATACTGAGACTGAAATCTTCCCCTAATATACCCAATTGAGTTTTAAACGTAAACCCTGGAAGTCCCCGAGGTTGCTAAAACCACCAAAATACACAAACTACAGCCCTGATTACTTTTTTATGATTTTTAAAAGGTTGTCGCCACATGAGGCAAAGTGCAGCCTGCATTCAGAGCCCTGTTTGAATATGAAGAGCTGCTGCAGTCAGAGAGTATCAGATCTGATGTTGTTCAGTTTTGACATTCTTTCCACGCACATAATTAAACTTGGCAAACTTAATTTCTCTATAAAAATCACAAATCATCCTAAACCAGAAAACATCTCTACACAAACCCCTGAAGAGTGTCTAATAAGAGTCATTTAACTTTTCTCAAACCGAAGGAGAACAACAGCGTCTTTTGTCTGGGGGAATATCATGAGACAGAATAACACTGAATCTCGCTCTGACTCACTGAATGACGTGTGTGCTCTGCTAACTGCCAGCGATTATATGTTGTGTGAGACAAACCTGTCATTAACCCAGAGGGCACAGAGGCAGCAGCAGCAGCAGCAGCGCGGGCTGAGCACCAAACTTCCCAGAGCAAAGTCAAAACTGTTAATTTGGGATCTCCAATATTCAACACGGTTGAGTGACTTCAAAGTCTAAAAATAAATCCATTTCAGAGCAAGTGTTTCTTAATGATTTGGTGAGAAGACGGAATTCTGACTCAAAGCGTTCATACGCAACAGTTCTGTATTTTTCTGAGGTAAAAGTGGCTGACATGTATGAGCACTTTGCCCCTTTGCCCTCACAGACTTGCATGATATTTGTCACACTTACATGTCACATTTAGTGAGAAAAAAAAGAGGCACAGGATATGTAGTAAGAAAGGGAAGATAAGGCGATCCACTTGTGACTGTGTGAGCCAACACAGAGCATGAAAGAGCTGATAAAACCTCCAGTTACCAAGCAAATATCCATATTACTGAAGCACGTGGGCCTTTCTTCAGCTAAAACCCTTTTTGCACAATATAACCCAGAGACATCGAGTGATTTGAAACTATAGCAGCGGCCGTCTGTGATTTTGATGCATTACAAAGAAATCCTACCGTGCAAATTCCTCATGTGCTGCTTTCTGTTGCAGACAAAGGGTCCTGTGTAACTGTCCCAGCATTCATGCATGGTCATCCTCCTGTCATAAAGACATAAAGGCATGAGAGGGAGAGTTTTAACACATATGTGAAAAAGTCACATCAGAGCCTTTAAACAAGTTTACAAGACACAGAAAGAAAGATGTTTAACATACATACATGTTCACTTTTATCCACTTGGTCTTAAGATGAGTTCATGGTCTGGAGGATTATACAAGCTATGAAAGAGCAGTAAAAATGAAACAAAATTAGACTGTAAGGCTGCTACATGACATGCTTCTCCCCTGACAGTACTTTCCCCAAACTAACACACCTGCTAATCATTGCTATTTGCTTTAAAGTCCACTCATTGTTGGCTTGTGAGCTGCTGTGCAAACATCCACACTTCACCGGTTTCACAATAACGCAGAAATGCCATGACAGTAATCTCTAGGCAACTTACTGAAACTCAGCTGGCGGCAGGCTCTGGGCCTGTGTGTAGCATTTCCTATTAGAGGAGCAGGGCTTTGTGGGATGCTGGAGCTGTAAACAGGAAGTAAAGTTGAGCACGAGAGCCAGTACAGGAAGTGAATCAGTCAAACAGAATTTATCATTTCCAATAACCCAGTTCAGTTTGTTGCCTTTTACAGTAAGTTGCAGGTATGCAGAGACAATGGGCACCACTTTAACGACACCATGCAAATTGTTGTTTGCATTTTGTCTCGTGTTGATAATGATACCTCTCACTGTTATTCCAACAGAGATATCAGATGAATCCATGGACATAAATCTTTAAAAACCGGTCACATATCTTTAATTTCATTTTCAAAATACTTTCAAAAATGTCTCAGCACTGTAGCTTAGCTGTAGCAGTAAACAGTACATTTGTTCCGGACTATTTCCAGCCACAGATTAATACACATTTGCTGCAGTACTGAGTGTAAACAGCAGCAGGATGGTGTACGTGTGACTGACTAAAAATAAACCATAGCTGCCATGTTCATTGTAGTGAAGGAACATGTTAGCCGGTGCAACAGTGATGCTCGTTGATGTGTTTTAATAGTTTTGGACACACACATGCAGTACAATGCTTCACGGATCAATTCATTGTTGTTTTTGGGCTTTGAGGGAATTAGAAAACAATGGAGTTGTAAAGTGGGAGGAGTGAATAGTCCCATTCATTTTTCCCATAGACCATGATACATGAGTCACAGGTGGAGAACCTCTGCAGCTCAGTTCGGCAAGAAACTGTCATGGTTAAATCACCAGTGCTGAAGGTTAACAACTGTATGACAAAATATCTGGTTCATTGAAAAAGATTTCAAAATTACAATATTGTGCACTTAAAAAAAGTTGGGTAAATTAACTCTAATTCAAATTCAGTCCTTTGCACTGCTAATGGCTAGCCTGGAAATCCAGACCCAAATCTAGAAAGATTTAGGGTCTGGCTATGAGTAATGCAAATGGCCCAACTCGAGGAGCTGCACCAAGCATGCATTTGAAAATATCACTGCACGCAATTGGATAACACTATGACCAATCAGAACAATACACGGGGTGACGTATATGCTTAGCTACCCACGGAGCTAACTGGTAGATTAGACTCTTGCTGTATCCAGTCAGCAAAACAGCAGAAACGTCCTTCTTGCAAAGGAAAGACTCGAGCGCCGTCTTCTGTTCCTTTTTTAGAGAAAAAGCCAAGTCTAACTCGTTCATTGTAGCGGCCAAAGCCGTTTCAAACAACTGGTGTTCATCCGTAGCCATCTTGCAGTGTTTACTGACTGATTCCGGACTTTGTCGTCACAACGATGTCGTCATCTGTTTAGCTCGCCTCTGGCCCACCTATAGCAGATACACCGATGTGACTGGTGCAGCTCGGCTACAAGGGCATGGGTAATGAGCATCATTACTGATTGCCAGAGTGACTCGCTGAGCAAATTCAAATTGTGCTCTCGCGAGAACTCTGGATTTCCAGGGTAGCTAATGGCAGGTGGGAGCTAAAGATGATGGTGCAGGACCTAAATCAATTCCCTTTTGGATTATGGGTAAAATCTGGATGAATTCAGCAACTGTGGAGCTGCGTTTTTTTCCCAACTACAATGACGACTTTTTGCATCTGAACTAGTTACCATGTATTGTGTCATCCATTAATTTTCAGGATGTTTATCCAGGTCACAGGGGCAGCAAACCAAGCAAAGCACCCCAGACATCCCTCTCACCAGCGATGCTTTCCAGCTCCTCCTCAGGGACCCCAAGGTGTTCCAAGGCCAGATGAGATATGTAATCCCTCCAGCATGTTCTGGGTCTGCCCCGGGGCCTCCCATCTAAAAAAACAAAAAAGGCACCACTTGTGTATTTTTGAGGTGGCAATCTGAATCATTCAAGGGCCCCTCACCCAATGGGCCCCTGTGCATATGGGCACGGCCTGCACTGTCTATATTTACACCCCTGCCACACGCTCTGAATTCACTTCCACTGTGATTTGCATCTGTGACTGGCCTTTTCTCCATGGAAACAGCAGGTTGGAGCCTGAAGCACCTAGCACCTTATGCTCCTTGCACCCTGTTGCACAGCGTGTCTGTCTTTATGTGAGACTGTACTTTGTGTATTTTAAATTGTGTATTTTAATGTATTTTGGGCTGCTGTGACAATGAAATTTCCCCCCGAGGGATTAATAAAGTACCTACCTACCTAGACGGTTTGTAAACTCTCATTTAAAGCCTCAAGTTCAGCATTTCTGCCATCACCATCTTGTTTTTTTTGGAGCCAGAAGTGATCATATTTGGATGCGAGGGTGGAGCTGTGGAGGAGCGAGGGGTGGATCTGACTCATAAACTGTGTATAAGGTGCTTAAAAGTAGAGATTATTAAATACAGAATGCTGGAAAATATCAAATATAAAAAGCACAGAAGGTAAAATATGAAATACTAGCAGAGGCCGAATATCTAAATAAATACAAATGCAAATTGTGCAAGGTTAACGTAACCAGTACCTGAGTGACATTCCAGCAGCCTAAACACAGGTGATCAGGTGAGTATTCAGTCTGTTCAGTGCGTTCCAACCTGCCGTCACTGGTAGGAGTTGAATAACCTGATGGCCTGGGGGACAAAAGACGTTCTCAGTCTGTCTGTTGAGCAGGACTGGGAGAGAAGTCTGCCACTGAACATACTCCTCTGCTTAGTGAGATGGAAAGCGGTTTGTTAAGGGTCCTTCGATCTGGAAGCGACATACAGTAAGGGAGTCCAGCTCTCCTGCCACTGCAGCACACCACCACATCAAAACTTTTTTTTGTACCAGGCTGTAGACATGTTTATTTTACTGCTGTACTGTTGGCCATTCTAACATGGAGGTCTGTGGGGACTGACTTGCTCTTGGAGCAAACCTCAAGTGGCCACAAAAGAAAGAAAAGAAGAAGAAAAGACTTTAAAGAGACAGTTCAGCCCAAAATCAAAAATACATATTTCTCCTCTTCACTGTAGAGCTATTTATCAGTCTAGATAGTTCTGCTGTAAGTTACTAAGTGTTGGAATTATCAGCCATAGAGCTGTTTGTATCTCCTGCGAACTCACCTAGCACCACTGAGCTAGCTAATGTCACAGCTCAGCTAAACCTCTTGTCAATGAGTAGATGTGCGCCTCCTTCTGTGTGGTGATACGGTTGGCGAGTGTAGCTCGGTATAAAGAAAATAGTTCCAACATGAAACTGCTCACAACAAGGTCTGTGGATTATCTTGAGTAACTGAGTCATGATTTCTGGAAAGAGACATTGATGTTGAGTTTTTAAATGTATTCATTTGGCACTTTGAGTCAAGTGCCATCTAGTTCCATTGTACTGGAGAGAAGACAGACATCTCTATGGCCGATATCTCCAACACTCTGCAACTCACACCCAAACAATCCAGATTGACAAATAACTCTACAGGTAAGAGGAAAAATATGCACTTTTAATTTTGGGGTGAACTGTCCCTTTAAAGAACCAACCTGAGTGAATAATTTGGCTGAATAAACTTGGACCTGTACTCCTGGTTAGTGAATAGTCGGCTGTTTGTGGTGTAATTACTTGAACACCGTGTGCCTTCTTGCCAAGAGATCGGTATCATCTCATATTTATACAGTAAATATGAAACTACAGCCAGAAGCCAGTTGGCAAAGCTCGGCACATTAAACAAGCAAGTTATAAAATTTGTGAGCTTTAGAGGTGTTGGAGGCTGTATTTTGTCACCTTGAGACGGAGCCAGTCTAGTTGTTCCCCCCTCTGTTTCCTGCGTTTCCTTTGTGCTCAGCGAAGGAAACTGGCTGCAGTTTCCTATTTACTGTGCAAACATTCAAGTGGCATCAATCGTCTCGGCTAATTCTTGGCAAGAAAGCGAATACAGTACTTATTAAAGTGTCCTTTAAGTTAAAATGATTTGTTTTGGATGATTTATTTGAACGGTTCATTAATAACTGGTTGATTTTATTTGTGCAGATTAATTCTGATTAGCCTGCAGATGTTTTATCACTAGTCGGTCTCTGCATGATTATTTTGTCCAGGTTGGGTGTGTTTGATTTGGATCCTGTTTGGGCTCTCTGGCAGAGGCTGTTTTGGTGTTTAGTGGTTTGGTTTACTCTGACATGTTTTGTCCTGGCCACATTTGCCCGTAATTAGTCTAATGGTGCGGCGTGGTCTCCCGTGCGTATCAAGTTAGTTTGGACTAGTTTGAGTTAAATTGGTTGTGTCTGCTTGTGCTCGTACAGCTGTCCCCTGCTGTGGGTTGTTTAAGTTGGTTTTAGTTTGGCTTGCTTGTGGTTTGTCCCCTCTTACGCTTGGATTTGTTAGGCTGCCTCTGGAGCGCCTGGCTTAATTTGCCTCAATGACTCTGGTGGTACATGACAGTCTGAGCTGCTGCTGTGGAGCTGCATATCTGCTTCACCGAGGCTGATGTAACACTGAGCCAAAGAGTTGCAACACTGCACCCGACACTGCAGTGCAGTTCACATATAGAGATGCTTTGATAAGAGACAAAAACAGCCTCATATACTGTATGTGCATGGACACACACACACACACACACACACACACACACACACTCACACACACACACAGATTCTCTCAGAAAGCCACAGCCCTCTGAAGCCTCCTTTCTTGCAGCTCTCTTCAAAGGGACATCACATATCATAGGAAGTACTCTACATTTTAATGAGGATGTGTGAATGAAATTTTTAGGAGGAGGAAAGGATCAAGGTCACATGTAAGGAAACATAGCATAGATCAAAAATGTTGCAAGAGAAATGTGAATAACCAGCTGCCCTACAAACAACTCAAACTATATCTTAGCACTGGGCTACAGTCAGCGTTTGACTCTGTGGGTGGGTGACAGTGTGGGTGTACTTCCACTCACACTGACTGTTGATGAGACCCAAGACTTCCTTTAAACAAAGACTCTCCTTCACCTTATGCTGACAGTGCGCAGCTCTTTTTTCTTTTACCTTCTCTTTCTGATGTCACACACACAGATATGACTGAGCACTGTGCTGTAGCTGTGTTTCTCATAATTAGGGCACAAAGCTGTGCCATATGTCTGTATTGGATGTGTATTCCTTACTTTCTTTGGCTGAGTAGGAGGTGGTTTGTCTCTTCATTACTTCTGCTGTCATTTCAGACCCCAGCAGTGTCCTCTGTGTGTTCCTGCTCCTGCCCATCGTCTGATCTTCCACCTGCTCACACACCTGCCTCTCATTACCTCCTAATCCCCAGTCACACTCTACATCTGTCCAGCAGCTCAGTTGCCCAATTTTGGATCCAAATAAAGTCCTTTAAATTGAATGACATGGACTTTAGTTTACTTTGACATGCAAATTTAAATCAGATCTTTAAAATCTGGTTGAAACACTTAAAGGTGGGCGTGGCTGCTGGCCTCCACCCACACCTCTCTCATTTGTTGCTGGATCAGGAGAAAGAGGATGAGGAGGAAATTAGTAACTTGGTGAATAATTATGCTGTTCAAGCTCACACCTCCTGATATGATACTGCTCTACCAGCTATGAGCCAACAGTGTGGTTCGCTACTCCCCCTCAATCCCATTTGATTGGATAAATGAATGTACATGCCCTGAAGTTAAAGATGAGTCATCACACATACATGTACACTTTCCCCTTTCTTAAATATATTTATATTTTTTAATTATCATATTTATCTTACTATATAATGACAAAAACTCTGTCTGTGTGTCTGTTCCATGTTTTTCTCCTCACTGACTTGATCAATCCATGTGAAATTTGGCACAGTGGTAGAGGGTCATGGGAGGATGTGAAAGAAGCAATATTACATCAATTGGCCAAAGGGGGGCGCTATAGCAACCGATTGAAATTGCAAACTTTGAATGGGCATATCTCATGCCCTGTATGTCATAGAGACATGAAACTTTGCACAGAGATGCCTCTCCTCACGAGGAACAAATTTGCCTCAAGAACCCATAACTTCCGGTTATATAGATTTTCCGCCATTTTGAATTTTTTGAAAAACACTTCAAATCGATCTCTTCCTAGGAAGTTTGAGCGATCTGCATGAAACTGGGTGAACATAATCTAGGGACCAATATCTAAAGTTCCCTCTTGGCAAAAGTTGGAAAACTTACTAAAACTGAGCTTCTATAAGGCAATGAATATTGCGGAGGGCGTGGCTCATCACATAAAGGTGTATAACATCTCAAGGGTTTCACCCATCACCACGCAACTTTGTAGGCATATGACCACACATAATCTGAGGGGACCCCTCCATTATTGACCCCATCAAACAAAATGGGGGCGCTAGAGAGCTCATTTCTTATCTAGGCCTAACCACCATATCAATTTTTACTAAACTTGGTAGATATGTAGAACAGGACGCCTCAAGGTGACTGGAGAAATTTAACTCTAATTGGCAACTGGGTGGCGCTATAACAACAGAAAAATGCTTAAAAATGGCCAAAATGTGACCGATTGCTGTGGCTCCCCCTGTGGCCCAATGTTGTTTTCGGCCACTTTTATTTTTGTACTGTCAAATTCACAAAAACTCAGTTGACTATTTAATCTGCAGTTTCCTATGACCTGTATCCCAAACACACACCATGTGAAACTGTACATGGGCAACTGTGCACTCAATGGGTATGGACAAGTTTTATTTTATTTTAATTTAATTTATTTTTTTGTTATAAGTGTATTTTTCACATTTTTCTCCCCTTTGCTTTACATTAATGTACCTCGGTCATTATTCTTATTATTAACTGATATGTTGCTGTTGTTATTGCCATTCCTCAACCTTGTATGGGGGGGTGTGGGTTCATTGTTGGAAAAACCCTATGTCACTAAATAATTTTGAGACTGTTCCTAAAATGCTTATAAAATATGTTTTAAAAAATGAGTCATCAAAAATAATATAATGTTTCACAGGAAGAGAAAAGAGAGCTATAAAAAATATTAAAAGATATTTAAAAAAAATATTGTTGCATATAAAAAGAAATAATCGAACATGAAGAGAACCGACTGATTGGAAGTTAAATAAAAGAGAAAATAAATAACTTCTAAGTTCTTATTCTGTGTTAATTGTTATGCTGTCTCTTGCTATAAGTTAAGTATGTGTTATAAATAACATTTTGGGGTATTTCGATCTCAGAATTTCTTTCTCTTGTTGGATTTTTTTTTTCCTGACTCATCCTACACTCAGAGACGTAAACATTTCCAGTCAAATATGATTTGGGGTTGCCAGTTCATATCTCCCATCACATGAAACCATTCCTGAACCAAGAAAGAAACAGTTTAAAAATAAAAGTAAAACTTAAAGAATGACATACAAGACATAAAATGTTGAAATCTGTCTTGTGACCTTTGCCGTGTCATCCCTCTCACCCCCCAGCACCAAAAAAAAAAAAAAATCTTAAAAGCAGAACTACTATAAAAAGATCTCATATTGAAAGCCTCATCTCGATACTACACTCACTTCTCCCATTAATCATGTATTTTTTGCACCACTGCAGCAGTTTCAATACAGTTTTTCTGCTTTACTATAATTTACGTTGCCTTGCTGATTTAATGTCTTTCACTATTTTCTTTTCTGCAGTCGAACACATGTTTGGAAAACAAGCTTTAAGTTAGCATTTTCTCACAGTTGAGAAAAGAGAGACCATACAAATATTGATAATTAACAGTGGAAAAAAACATCTGTTATGATCAGTCAATTTTTCTGATGTTACATTAAAAAATCACAAAAAATGTGAAGTTTTTGATACTGAAATAGGCCTTTTTTGTTTATTAGAGTACTGACAGAAGATTTATGAAGCATTAACTGTAACAACTGGTGAACCAGGTCTCAAACGCACGACTCTGGAGACAGTTTGGGTAAAATAACACAGTCTTTACCGGTCAAAAAGTAGGTTCAGTACACAGAAGGACAATCAGTGGAGGCAAACAAACCCAATAGGGATGAGGCAGAAGCAGAGACAATCAACAGGCTAAATCTAAAAAACCAAGAAAAGGACATTGGTACCCCGTTTACACGTAGGAAAAACGCACATATTTTCATGTGGTTTGGCCTCTTGTTTACACGCAAACTGAGTTTTTTTCACGGAAAACGATCATTTGTAAAAACTCCGGCCAAAGTGGAGATTTCTGAAAACACCGTTTATGTGTTGCCGTGTAAACTGGGTGAAACGGGGTTTTAGGTTCTGAAACGTCACAGCATGCGCCAGCAAATGCTTGACGTCATGTAAGCGACCTATGTTTACACTTTGTTTGGCTACTGATCATGGATGCTGTTAAGGTGGTACTCATTTTTACGTTTGTGCAAACGCTTTGGTACGGCCTTTTTCCACCAGATGCATGTTGGTTGCGTCTCCTCTCCGGCACAGCAGCGGAGCCGATAGGATTCAATTCTAGTCAATGTGTGTGTTTCCATCGGCTGCGGCTGTGCTGCGTTCCAGCTCCGTCTCAGCTCCGGCACTCCAGAGCAACAGACATGCAGGACTTCTATTGGTAACACTTTACAATAAGGTACACAAAATTAAAGTAGTTACTGAGGAACTAATGAGGAACTAATGAGGAACTAATGAGGAACTAATGAGGAACTAATGAGTAGTTACTGAGGAACTACGGTACACAAAATTAGAGTAGTTACTGATGAACTAATGAGTAACTAATGAGTAACTAATGTGGAACGAATGAGTAACTAATGAGGAACTAATGACGAACAAATGAGTAGTTACTGAGGAACTAAGCTACACAAAATTAGAGTAGTTACTGGGGAGCTAATGAGGAACTAATGAGGAACTAATGAGTAGTTACTGAGGAACTACGGTACACAAAATTAGAGTAGTTACTGATGAACTAATGAGGAAC